CTACTCCAAGGCTCCTGGCAAAACGCCTGCCTGACCCTCAGCCTTGCTGAATTTGGACCAGAATACTCCCGGACACCCACCCCCCTTGCCGCCTGCAGCTGGTGTGCAGTTTCCGCAAAGAGGGAGCAGGCTGCTCTCGCCCCACTGAAGGGGGGACATGGAAGAAGGGTCTCATTGCTTTAAAGGAGGCAGAGATGTTACGGGAGGGAGGGAGTGTTCAAAAAATTGCTCTTCCCTCAGCAGTTAAGAGAGGGATAATTGAAGCAAGTGGCAGCGGGCGGGCGGCTGCTCTGCCATCACGCATACAGTATACCCAGGAAATCTCACTGGGTAATCAGGAGAAGAGGAGGAAAAAGGAGCAATCAGACCCCTATTCAGACTCCGTCTAGCGACAGCCCCTGCTAGTGGGGCTGGTCCCACGGAAAGCCTGAATGCCGGGTGGGAAATCTGGTTTTCAAAGCAGCAGTTCCTCCTTTGTGCACTCGTTAAAGCCTTGCTTCCCCGCTCCCTTCCCCAAACCAGAGAGGGTGATTGGGAAAGGAGTTACCCTTTACTCTCCCAGGATGACTCACCACTCCCTGTCAGGCCCCGCCCCTCCCCAAGGCCATTCAGAGTTGACACAGATTAGGGACAATGCCATGTTACAATTCAAGCAGCTGGTGCACTGGGGAGAAGGAGGGGAGAGGACTGTGTTTTCATACAAATGCCTAAAACAGGAGGATCCAACTGGGACAATCAATCACTGGTACCTTCACTATAGCGTCCAACGTCAGTAAATGCTCAGGGATAAACAGCCTCCTCTTGGAATACGCCATTGCATCCAGGCCTGGCTTTGAGAGATGGGGCAAGAGTCATAAAATTCTCCATAAAAAGAAAAGTAATTGAAATTCACTTTCAGGAAGGCATGCGAAGGTCATGCTGTGGTGTTGAGAAATCAATCAAATACACCCAGCCTGTGTGGGATCTCAGCTCTACAGCAGAAGGGAAGGGGATGGTCACTAGCTGGTACCCCACAACAGTGTGCTTATAACAAGGCTCTGGTCTCTGTCGCCAACACCCACCACCACGCTTCACTAGAGGATCCCAACACCTGGAAATACAACAGCTAAGACTCAAGACAAGCAATTTCTGGTCTGGACACCTGCCCAAGTCAGCAGGAAAATGGAGCAGACAACGAACCATCTTTTTCTTGGCCAGTAGACTAGGACCCCATGCCGCCTTGCTGAATTAACCTAGAAATGTGATTACACGAGTTATATGTGACTTGAGCGTTGAGATCCACCTACAACAGCTTCTCCACCATTCTCTGGCTCCACCCTACTACATGCCACCGGCTGACATCCTGGTAAATGAACTCTTCAGGGAAACTGGCACTAAAATTTATACACCTTGGCAGTGAATCAGTTCTGCCCAACCATAAGGTTGTCGAGAAATTCAATACATGCACATTCATAACCAAGAATGTTTTAAAAATCAACAATCAAGCTTAAACCTATTTCAAGGTAATGACACACTCTCAATGACCCATGAGGGGACTGCTCTCTAGAGGGAACTGAGGATACCTCTTCATTAGCTAACACCGAACTTCAGGGCTACCCATGACAAGACAGGCTGAGCTAAACAAAAAGCCAAGCAAAAATGCTGTGCTATATTCCAACACAACTCTATTCCAAACCAGAGGCGCATAATTTTACAATCATTTTGAGCACTCTGTACTTCGATCCTCCAGGACCATGACTGAAAAGGCAAGATGAAATGTCAACAATGACAAGTCTGGTTGGTGGTCAGCATTTTATTAATAGAAATAACACCTAGAAGTAAAACTCTGGGACCCTGTCTCTGTCCATTATGTGCTATAGAATTCAATGTGACTGTTCATTAAGTTGGGAGGCTTGGAATGATGTTTTCCCAAGCAAGCTATACAGAATTTAGTCTGCAGCTAGAGCTAATAGTCCTTCACCAAATGAAAGAGAAGATACCATGTCCTCGACCTCTTACACCCCTAGGTCCAGTTCTCTCACAGCAGCAATGTCCTGAGTCTTCTGGGTCTTTCCTAGGGAAGATGCCCAATGGTGAACCAAAATAGTCCAAAGTACACAAAAGAGATGGGCCCGACTGCACATTCTTCCTGGGGTGCAGCTGAAGACATTTTGGAGCCATCAAGGCATGGAGAGTGAGACAGGTCAAGCAAACAGCAATGCCATAGGCGGGCTAGGAGCTGATGGATCACAGAGGGTGCCTCCAACGGGCCGACCACATCCATCCAAATCTGCAAGAGCCCTCCCAGCTCTCTTTGCAAAAGCATGAGGTATAAAACGGCCCTTCTGTGCCAGGTGCAAGCCCGCCTACAATAAAATGACAGTGCTCATCCTACAAATTGGGGCAATCAGGAGCTGGGCACACAGGACCCACCACCGGAAATAGGTTTCCCGGTTTCAGTTCTGAGATGCATGCAATCTAGGGGGTATGGGGGAGTGGGCACATTCTTACTGCCCACTTCACATTATCGTTAGGAAAATAGGCAGGCATTTTCTTCAGATTATGTATCTTATTTTGTGCAGATCTGCTTGACACTTAGCAGCTGCTGTGATTTCTTCTCCCTTAACATTTTACAGGTGTGTTCTTCCCGCTTACTCTCTAAAATTAACTATGTGTGGAGGTAACAGATATTTTCTAATAGCCTGTGATGCATTTTTGTGATTGATTAGATACAACGGCAATGACCAGAATGAATAGGCTCCAAGCTCTCAACAGTAAGTTTCATCACCCCCGCACCCGCCATACTCCTGAACCTTAACCTTTGCACTGCTCTGTTCCAAGCCAGCCAGGTGTCACGGTCACGACTGAGTTTATTTATTCTATGTATCAAGAGAATAAATGAGTTATTCTGTGTATTTGCCTTCTACAGATAGAGGTATCAGTCCACAGCTAGGAGATGACCTGAACCTTGTGGGAAAAAAAAAATTATTAAAACATATATATTGCATCGGGCTATTGAAAAACTGCCTGCATACAATCTTCTCCAAATAAATTTAACTGGAGACTGAAACACACACACAAAGAGAGGAGAGAAAAGACAAATTGTGTACATATACAGTATAGCGATTTTTTCCTGCAGAAAAGTGCTGATCCAAACCTGCCCCAAGGAAATGAGTTCTTTTTAAACACAAAAAATGCAATCAGGGCTAATCAGCATGTTAACAACACACTTGAAACACCCCGGTCCCTAGAAAGGAAGAATGCCAGCTTTCAGCGAGTTCTGAGAAGAGAACAGAACAGATCCTTTGGGCGAATGAGAAAACAAGTGATCATGTCAGCGTCTTCAGGCAGAACTTTCTCCAAAGCCAAGAAGTTCTGGAAGGCAGTCAGCTCCAGAAGGAACCTGCTTGAAAAGTACTTCCATAGCCACATCCCCGGCGTGGCTTGGAAGTTGGTTTGCCTCTGCCCCTCTCTTCCACCCCTTTTTCCCCCTGGTCCAGTGTCAGGGAAACACAGAAGCCAAGTGAGGACCATGTATACATCTGGCATCTCCTTCTGTGACAGACAGCCCACCACAGGAAGGGAGACAAATCTGACACCCAGCCCACTGGAGGGAAGGCGTGGAGACCCGGGCAGCACTCCTGCAAAGCCCACACTTAAGACCTCCAGTGTGTCCTCGTCTCCAGCAGGCGCCACCTGAGAAATAAATTTTGTTTTCATTTAAAAAATACATATGTTTGTAATTAGCTACTGGTAGCTAGAGTTCACATCAACCACAACCCGCTTGTGGGCTGTTTTGGAAACGTTTAAGGAACACCCACAGACACAGTCTTTAATGACAAATCCCAAGACAGGGGGGCCTTACCTGAATGAAGAGATCTGGAATCAGGGTCAAGATACTCACCTGGTCCCACCCACCTACTCTCGCTCAACCCCATGCTAATTGGTGTTTAACCTTGATTGCACATTGGAATTAAGTGGAGAGCTTTGGAAAGGTACAGATGCTTGGATTCCATCCACCACTCCCCAGATCCTGGTTTAATTAGCCTGGGGTGTGGCCTGAACGTTTGTGACAAGGTCCTCATGTGTGGCCAAGGCCGAGAACCATGCACCTCCATCAAGAGACGAGCATGGGATGGCAACACAAAACCTCTCTAGAAGAATCCAGGGCTTATCCCAAGAAGGGCAGGAGAAACTGTATCTTCCCTGCCAACATTCTCCCAACATACACTCCCTAATGCTCAGTCCTCACTCAGTTTCTCACATCAACAGTTCCTCTACCCATGGCTAAGCATTTAGTGAGCCCAGGAGTCCAGAAATTTGGACTTTAAGTGTTTGTCAAATCGAAGTCTGGGTCATGCCTCTCAGATCTAGTCCAAAACAGTCAGAATTTGGTGGACAAGGGAGGGCAGCCTAAGCCTTTGTGTGGGAGTCCCTCCTTCCCTCTCTCTGGAAGTCCTAGTTGAACTTGGCTCCCTTAGAGGCCTGGCTGGACAAGGCTCCAGTTAATCTCTGTGCCTCACTACATGGAGAGAACAGGAGGGGCAACCCCATCTAAAGAGGTCCCTCATCTGAAAAATCCTTAATGCTAGAACAGAGGCAAGAAGGCCCCGCCCAGATGTCTCCTAGAGGGTCGTGTGGTGGAGCGGCACAGGGGAGGAACTGGGTTCATCCTTCTTTTCACAGGCCTTCCTTATGCTCAGGATGGGGAGCTTCCCATCAGTCTCGAAGGGTCCAGGTTCCTAAGGGGTCAGGAGGAACAGAGGGAGCCACCTGACCAATTTCTATCTGATCTCTTGCCCATGGCAGGGTGGCCAGGATTCCCGCCCTGCTGGGATCTGATGGCTCTCCATTGAGAGTCAGCAAAGACTGTCACCGCCTCCTCAGGGAAAGGGGCCCAATTAGCTCACATGCAGCTACAGCCGTACTTCAGTACAAAGCTGGTTTCTATCGGGAGTCTTGGGCCTCACCCCTCTGGTGGGTGGGTCTCCAGCAGGAGAGGGATGGCGAGAGGGACTTACCTTCCGAGCAGAGCTTGCCTCCATAGCCAGTGGTAGAACAGTCGCAGGTGGGGTGGCCGTCCAGGAGAAAGCAGATCCCACCGTTTTCACAGGGGCGCTCCCCACAGGGTCCCTCAGCATCCAACCGGACACCCTGGCTCCCCAGAAGCCGAGGCTCTGAGTTGCCGTACTTGAGATCCAGGATTAATCCCTGGAAGCCAGGTATGGCCTGCACTCCGTCAAGGGTCAGGGCAGAAGGACGTATGTCTGCAGGGACCCCACCGAGGAACAAGTCACTAACCACATCCATGTAGGGCCGCTGGGGCTGCAGCTGTCCGGAATGACCCTCACCGTCCAGCGTCAGCACCGTGCGCAGGTGGTCACGGCTCACCATGAGGAAATGCCAGCTGCTGTCATTCACCTGCTTGTCGGACAGCACGGTGGTCTCGGCACAGTCCATGCTAAAGCGGAGCTGCACGCGGCCATCCACCAGGGAGAGGCAGAGGAAGTCGCAGACGCCACCGTCGTCCAGGTAGAAGAGCAGGCCCGTGGACACGTTGGTCTTGAACTGGAAGCTCAGGTCGCTGCGTGTGCTGGCATCCCAGCGGAGGTAGCGGGCCCACTGGTTGGGGAGACCCATGAACTCCAGGCCCAGGCAGAGCCCCAGCAGAGACCCCAGCAGGATGCTCACCTTCAGGGTGAAGAAAACCGAGTGCAGCGTGAAGCTCATCGTGGCTGCTGGGACGGAGCTGGAGAAGCAGATAGGCCAGGGGACAGCCCTCGGGGGTCAGGGGGAATCGCCCTCCAGCAGTGGAAGGGAGAGAGGAGGACAAGACAGAGATGGGGGGCAGAGGGCACGCAGGCGGGAGGAGACACACACACAAAGACTGAGACGGTGAGGAGGGAGGAGAGCGAACAAGACAGCCCCAGGTGGGCACAGGAGCAAGAAATTCAACTGAGATGCAGAGGAAATCAGGTGGGGAGAGCCAGGGGCTGGAGTGAAGAGGAAAGCGTCTTTCTCCAAGAAAAGATCTCAGCTATCCATGTGGATCCGGAGGCCTTGATTCCAGCAGGAGAGGGTGTAGGAGGATGGGGGGAAGCCTTCAGCGATGCACTCCTCCCGACAGACCCCCAAGCACCCCAGCCAGGAGGGCCAGGGAGAGGGCCGGTTTGGGGGTGCTGGGATGGAGGAGCGAGCAGTGAGGTGAGCAAGGTGACAGGTAGAAAGAGGCCAAGGACCCGTCGTGGAGTTCCACCACCTAGCAGCAGTGGGCCATGGGGACGGGGGCGGCCAGAAGTCCAGTGCTCAGACAGAGCAGGGCCCAGGGCAGAGCGGAAGCAGACTCAGGCTTCATGGTGCGACCGGAGGCAGCGCTGCCCATAGCTTGCCTCCCGGGACTCCAGAGAAAAGGCCTGCGGGAACAAGAGGAGGGGGGAAAGGAGAGAAGGAGAGGAAGATTAGGGCCATGTATCAGGAAAATATTGCACCCTATTTCACAAGTATTGATGGCAAGCTGACTTTAAGCCAGGCTATTCCAGCACGTCCTACTAGGCTTTGTGCTTCAAGCGGGAGGGAGGGCCTGGGTTCACCCAGAGTCCTTGCAGCATCCCAATCCCAGCTCCTGATGACACAGTCAGTTTTTCCATATGCAAAAATAGCCCAAAAATCCCCAAAGCCACATCAGCACATTTTTATAATGTTCATATTACAGGATCACATTGTCAAAATTTAAGGTAAGTGCTTTTCTGTTTTTGTTTTTTGGGTTTTTTTTGGTCAGTATCTCACTCTGTTGCCCGGGCTAGAGTGTAGCAGCAGGTTCATGGCTCACCATGGCTTCGACCTCTTGGGCTCAAGCGATCCTTCTACCTCAGCCTCCCAAGCAACTGGGACTAGAGGTGCATGCTACCACTCCTGGCTAAGTTTTTTAATTTTCTTTTGGCAAGACAAAGTCTCGCTATGTTGCCTAGGTTGGTCTTGAACTCCTGGGCTTAGGCAATCCTCCCACCTTGGCCTCCCAAAGTGTTGAGATTACAGGGGTGAGCAACCATGTCTGGCCTATCTTTGGTCCTTTGATACAATCTGTTCTTTCTTTCTTTCTTTCTTTCTTTCTTTCTTTCTTTCTTTCTTTCTTTTTGTTTTTGAGTCAAGGTCTCTGTCATCCAGACTGCAGTGCAGTGGTACAATCAACTCACTACAGCCTATACCTCCTGGGTTTAAGCAATCCTCTCACCTTAGCCTCCCAGTAGTTGGGACTACAGGCACATGACACCATGCTCGGCTAAGATAAGTGCAAACTTTTCACATGCTCAAACACCTAGACTTAATTTTTACTTACTGTCCTATTAAAAGACATGAAAGACGACATTACTTTTTTTTTTTTGTAAATTTTCATTTTTCAATTTGACAACCCACTCTAGGAGGCCTAAGATAGATTCTGACCCTAAAATTTCACTGATTTATAAAAACCAAAGCAAACAAATTAGGAGAGGAGGAATGAAGAAAATAATCCACCTTTCTTACTAAATACTGGAAGGAAGTTCTTATAGAAAAAATATGTGGTTTGAGGTTAACAACCACAACCAAAAGCCGAGTTTGAATCTTAATTCCTGTATGTGGCACTTTGAGGAAATTTCTTAACCTGCTTGAGTTTCTATTTCATCATTTGTAAGGAAGAGAAAATAACAGTCTTTCCAAGATTAAGGAGGGAATTACATGAGATCAGGTGTGGGAAGATCCTAGCAGGAGGTTTTATTCATGGTGGGTGACCAGCGGAGACTGGGTTCCTTCCTTTCTTATTTCTGGAGCAGGACGGGTTGAGAAGAGGGGTGGTTTGTGTGTGTGTGTGTGTGTGTGTGTGTGTGTGTGCATATGCCAGTGGAGTGAGAGCAATGTAGGAAAACACAAATAATTTAAAAAATAAAACCTGCAGAATGGCTGATAACTGAATAGCTAAGAAATGTCACAGACTTATAGTATATCACATGTATTTCATGATGGTTAGAAACACACCTGCTAGGCTGGGCACAGTGACTCACGCCTGTAATCCCAGCACTTTGGGAGGCTAAGGCAGGAGGATTGCTTGAGCCCAGGAACATAGTGAGACCTCATTTCTACAAAAAAAATTTTTTTTTAATTAGCTGGGCATAGTGGTGTGCACCTGTAGTCCCAGCTACTCAGGAGGATAAGGCAGAAGGATCACCTGAGCCCAGGGGATCAAGGCTGTGGTGAGCCATAATCATGCCACTGCATTTCTGCCTGGGCAGCAGAGTGAGACTCTGACTTAAAAAA